CTGCAATGTTGTAAAGTAATTAGCCTCCAACTAATAAAAATAAATGGAAAAAAAAAAAAAACAAAGACTCAATGGAGGCAGCGCCTTGCCCTTCGCAGGGGCTTTACCCAGGACTTGGGTGCCCTGCACTTGGAGGCTACTCCCAGATGTCACCCCTGCACAGTTAGCTGGTTCTTGTGAACCACCAGATTACCCTTGACCTTAGGAGAAGTACTAAGAAGTCAATTACCATTGACCATTCTGAAGTATAATAGGTATGTAGGAGTAAAGAGTTATGATGCCTGTTACTCACTCTCAGATAACTGAGCAAAATAACAATAGTAATAATATGAGAAAAAGAGTGTATATGCCTTTGGACAAACATTAACTACTGTAGATTCTAAGTGAAGAATATGTAGATGTTTGTTGTACAATTCTCAAAACTTTTCTATCAGTAAAGTTTTCAAAATACAAGTGAAGGGAATTCCCTGGTGGTCCAGTGGTTAGAACTCCGAGCTTTCACTACCGAGAGCCGGAGTTCAGTACCTGGTCAGGGAACTAAGATCCCACAAATGGCGCAGTGCAGCCAAAAAATAATAACAATGTTTAAAAAGGCAAACCACAGTGATTTTTGCATCCAAGTCAAACATTTGATTTAGAACAGTTGCACTAACAGAAGCAATCAACAGGAAAAGGCTCTCCAGGGGCCAGTCGGTGCCTGCTTCCTGGACCTGTTTCTGTTCAGGACTGTCTTGGAAAGTCCAAAGAACCTGTGGATAGAGGCACAGTTAAAGGCTGTGCTCCATCACAAGACCAACAGTTCTCAAAGATATACTTGACAGCAACCCACAGCCGTGACATCTGCCCAGGGGCCGCCTCGGGGCGAAGGATACCATCCACTCTGGGAGAGGCTCTGCCTCTCTCCTCTCCATTGTGAAGCCTCTCAGAAGCCTGCTCTTCCAGGCTTGCCTCCAGTTGTTATGCTATTTTTTGAAAGTCCTTTGACCCACCGGCAGGGAGCAAACTGTGTAGCAAGGAGATCGCTGGCTGCCAGTCATCAAGCTCTTTGACTTCTCTTATCTCGCTCTTCAGCATGTTGGCCTTGTGCTTCACCCAGAAAGGCAAGCTGTGGGAAGAAAACAACACCGTCTGAGTCCGCCTGATGCAAATTTGCAAACACCTTCAGGAGACAAGGTACTCCATCCTCCAAAAGTAAGAATCCTTCAATTCTAGAGACCAGGTGTCAACGTCAAGCACCATATTGGGACTTCCCTGGTGATCCAATGGTTAGGAATCTGTCTTCCAATACAAGGGACGAGGGCTAATCCAAGTCAGAGAACTAAGATCCCTTATGCCTTGCAACTAAGCCAGCGAGCCTCAACTACTGAGCCTGCATGCTCTGGAAGCCACGTGCCATAACTAGAGAGAAGCTTGAGCTCCGAAATAAAAGATTTTGCATGCCACAACTAAGACCTGATGCAGCCAAATAAATAAATATTTTTTAAAAACCCATCATATTATTTGTCGTCACTGTCCCTGCCCCAAACCCATGTCTCTTTTGTGTCCCTCTCTGCCCAGGAATCTGAGCCCTGTAGCCTGCACCACCTTGACTCCTCCCTGCCCCCACCTTTGAGTTGGGCTTGGCTAGTAGGAAGCACCCACAGGAGATCAGAAGGTGCAAAGACAGAGACTGAGATGTGTCTTACTGAGCTCCTTGACTCCCACCCTGTCTCCTGAGGTACCCCAGGTCTGGAGCGGCTGTATTCTCCACGGCCACAGCGCCTTTAGAGCAGCCCTTCTCCATTCTCTCACTGTTCTGTGAACCATGA